TTTTCTTTCTAACATAACACTTTTTTCACGAATCCCTGTCAAATAATACCATGCGGGACACATTCGCGCGCGCAAGACGAAATCCTTCCAAAACCTTAGTGTTCGTAGCGATCTTAACATAAAAACATCAAAAACCCAATGGTTTTCTTTTAAAAGTTTCAAACATTCACCCCGCGCGCTCTTGCGGATTCCTAGGAAACCCACTACTTTTTCAACACTTCTGTCAAAAGGGCTCTTGCGAGCAACTTTTTCCTGCGCTTCGAACTTCTTCAACAACGGCTGCGCGCCTGCCAGGGGCATAACCCTTGTCAAATAATGCCATGCGGGACAGATTCGTTTTTTCTTCGCGCGCGCGCGCCGAAATCTTTAAAAACCATTGGGTTTGTTGAGCATTTCAGCACGGCGTATCATAAAAACACACGAATCGCACCGTAGGTCCTCGAAAAAAACCTGCACGGATTTTCAAACATTTTGCGGCGAGATTCAACGCGCCGCGTCGACGGCAGGGAGGTTCGCGCCGCGCCGACGCGGCGGCTACCCCACTGCAGTTTCAAGGTTGAACGATCCCAGGGTCCCGAAGTCGGCCGATACCGAGCGATGTGCGCAAGACGACGACGACCACGACAGACGACGACGACGACGACGACGACGGCGGGGAAGACGACGACGACGACGACGACGACGACGACGACGACGACGACGACGACGACGGCTTCGGCGACGGCGTCGACGACGACGACGACGACGACGTCGGCGTCAGGTACTCGCTAGGAAGCTTCGCTGGGTATTGGCAGCCACGGTCTGGTGAGTTTTGCTGACCAAGTTGCGGGTGGGAGGGTTGGATGTTTGCTCGAGCAATGGAGAAGACAACTTCAAGTTCAGCAAATTAATTACACCACGTAGACTGCACCACGTATATTGCATCGCATTTATTGCACAACATCGGGTGCACCAGAAAGAATGCACCACGTAGATTCCCACACATGTTGCTCCACAGTGATTGCTCCACATATGTTACACCACATTGGCTGCATTGGTTGCACTACAGGGATGGCACAACGTAAGTTCACCACGTATATTGTCCCAAATATATGGCACAACATAGATGGCGCAACATATGTTGCCCCACTCATGTTGCATGGCAAAGGTTGTTCCGCATATACTGCACAACCCATATTGTCAGGATAACAACGTTTTGGACCCACGGTGGCTACCACGTTCTCAGAGCATTGTTTCTATTCTTTTGCCGCTAGAATACCATATCTCTTCGCTTGTTGGCGAATACCAGGTCGGCGGTCTCTGTTCAGCTTCAAGACAGTTAGGAGTTGACAGCTCTTCCTCGGCGGAAGGATCGCGGAAAAGGGCAGAAATAAAACGAGGCCGGCCCCGCCAGCGGAAGCCAGCTGATGGTGGCGGAAGTAAAACGTGTACTTTCAAGAGATGGCAACATTGCTGGGTTCCCGGCTTGGAAGAGGAGTCAAGTGACGAAGATTCTGTCGAGGGCGTATTCGTTGACGGTGTCCAAACACACACACATACACACCACGCACACAGGTTGTTCCTCAGACGCGTCAGTGGGTTATAGCCAGCGGTGAACAGTCAGATTGTGGCACAGACAAGACAATTGTTCCACCTGTGTGGACGCGTGTACAGGAATCTCAGCTTGTGCCAGGACGTACAGTCGGTTCCTATGCTGCTAACGTGCGGGATGCGTTTAAAAAGATGATCACACGCTTGTTTTTCCAGCGGCGAGGTGGCTACACCGCCGCAGGCACTGAGCCAGGATACGTTGAGGCGAACTACAAGGTAGCAAACGGGTAGGTTGGATGAGTGCAGTCGCAAGCAGAAAAAAAAAAACGAATCGGATGCAAGCGGAAGAGGTGAACTATGGATACGCACACATTCACGCGATCAATCTAGGGAGGGCGGCGGGCCCGCCCCGCGCACGCAGGGCACTTTCATAGACACACAAGCACAATACGGCATGCACACACAAATTCACATACACACGCATTTTCACCCACACACACACACACGCACACATCTACACACACACACTTTCACACACACACACACACACACACGTTCACACACACAATCACGCAAACACGCACACATACACACACCCTTATGGCCCGCCACTCGGCCCTAGTGCTGAGACGCCGTGGCGCCCAAGTGGTGCCGACTGGTAAAGCAGAGGCTCGTGACCATTGCCCGAGTCCGACGGTCACCCCGGGGCCCAAAACAAGCACACACACACGTTCACACACACACACACACACACACACACACACACACACACACACGCACGCACACGCACACGCACACACACACACACACACACACTCTTCGGCAGTGTTCTCAAAGCACGGCGGGGCGGACGGGAGCAATGCAGAAGATGTGGGTTCTCGGCCCGAGCCTCGCGAGTCAGCCGACGTGGGGCGCGCGCCCGCACGGCCGATGTGGGGAGCGCCGGCGCCCGAGCCCCAGAGGGGTGCGCAGGTGCCGACGCCGACCTTCGAGACCGCACAACCCCCGGGCTCGCTGCCGCCGCTCATCGCGGACAGCCCGTTCGAGACCCCCCGCTCCTCGAAGCTGTCGGCCGCGACCAGCCAGGCCAGGAGAGGGAACGGTCCACAGAGCACCGCCACCGGGCCTCAGCGGGGCCAGCCTCGGGGCCGGGCCTGGCTGGGCGCACGTGGGCCCCCGAGCGGAGCCAGCAGGCCGTGTGCAGCAGGGTCGGGGCCCGAGGCCGGCCCCGGTGGGTGCTCGGTGGCGGCGGGTGCCTTTCGCCCGCCCAGCAGGGGCGCCCTCCGGCGTCCAATCCGCGCGAGCCTTCCCGCGTGCCGGCGAGCGGCGCCCGCGCCGACGGCGGCGGCCCCCGAGGCGGCCACGCTCGGAACGGATCCTTGCTCGGCGGCGCGTGCTTCCGCGACAAGCTCGAGGCGCTTTCCGCGACGCACGACCTGGAGGTGGCAGGCTTGAGGGACGAGGTGTCGGGCCTGCAGGATCTGATCGTGCAGTACAGGTCGCTCCTGGAGAAGGTCCCGTACACCGCAGGCGACGGGCCCGCCGGGTCCGACCCGATCCACGAGATGGCGGGCGAGATGCTCAGCGGATGCTTTGGGAAAGATGCGCCCATTGGCGCATCGAGGACGTCACAGGTGAGGCGTTCCAGAAAGGGCCTCGCCTTCGAGGACGGAAGGAGTTGACAACACTTCTTCGGCGGAAGGGCGGCGGAAGTCCAGGGAAGTACACCGAGGCCGCCCTCGCCAGCGGAAGCCTGCGGAAGTCTGGCGGAAGCGGGCGGAAGTAAACGATGCGCCTCTGGGTTCCGGGTTTCCGGAATCCGCCAGGTGGAGCACGCAGCGCCGAGGTCAGCGTCTTCGGAGCACGCTTCGGCCGAGCCTGTTCGAACCCGCTTCATGACCGAGCGGCAGCAGGACACCTCTGCGCTGCAGGTGACCATCGAGTCGCAGGCTGCTGCGGCAATGTCGCCTGCAGCTCGAAGGAATTTCCAGCCTCAAACACATTCCTGTTCCTAGGCTCGGAATCGCTTTATCTCGGTGCACATCTTAAACATCCCCTCAACTTCTGAAGGCACCGCCCTAAGATTTTCATCGCGTTCGGCTTACCAACCTTGTGGACAGGGATGAGCTCGAGGCTGGTTAAGGAACGTCGTGGACAGGCTCAAGCGACGCCGACGAGTGGAGTTCTCGAAGGCCATCACACGCCGAACTTTTCTGAAGCGCTGCATCGACCACGCATCGTTTGACATGCTTTGCGCTGTCATGATTCTTGTGAATTCCATCGTCATTGGCTACGAGGTGCAGTGGCTCACAACCAATGAAGCGGAGCCAGCGCAGACCAAAATATTGGGGCTGTGTTGTTCCATTTTCTTCTTGATCGAGCTGGTGCTTCGCGTCGTGGCCGACGGCACCCGGTACTTCTTCTTTCTTTCCGACCACAAGAATTGGAATTGGTTCGATTTTGCCCTTGTGGCGATGTCTTTATTCAAGAGGTCTACGCCATTGTGCCGACGTCCAGGAGAAGTGAGGTGCCTGCCTTGCGGGGCAGAGGTTTCTTGGATACTTGTGGGGGTCTCTTGGGCAGATTCTGGGAAGGCTCTTGGGGCCAGTTTTGGAGCGTCTTGAAAACCGTCTGGGTGCCTCTGTTGGGCCGCTTGGAAGCGTCTTTGGCCGCTTTTTGTGGGGCGTCTGTGAGCTCTCCCCTTGGGCGGAGGGCTCGAATTGTCCGTTCGAGTTGCCCCTTTCGGGCCCGTCTAGGTGAGCTCTGGACTGTCTTGTGTACCTTTCGGGCCGTGCTTGGGTTCTTTTCGGTTGTCTTGGGGCCCTCTTGGGAGGTTCTGGGGCCATCTTGCAGTGTTTTTGGGGGCATCGTAGGCCGTCTTGGACGCTGTGAAGACGAAGAATGCGAGTATGCTAAACAAATATGTTTTCCAGATGGGTTGGCATGGTTTGTGCCTCTTGGGACACTCTCCTGGGTCCTCTTCGAGCTCTCTTGGGGTGTGTTGGAGGCCTATTGGGCCGTCTTGAGGCCATGTTCTGTGTTTTCGGAATTTCTCGGCGAGGTTGATCGCACATTGAGTCAGCTTAAATAGCGTCTTGGGCATCGTGGATGCCAAGGGATGCAAGTTTCGAGGCTCCAGAGGCCCTGGGTTGCGCTGGGGAGTCCAGCTCCCCACGGCTCCCTTCCCCTCTGACGGGATTTTTAACCCCAGGGGAGGTGGGACCTCGACAGCCAATCATCTCACACGCTTTTGCGCCCCCCCGCAAGCGGGGGTCGGCAGATTTGACGTTGTCTCGATGGTAGGCGTGAACAATGGGGAGGCGTCCATGATCGGAAAGGGCATCAAGACCATCAAGATGTTGAGGATCATCCGGGTGGTACGGGTCTTCCGGTTCTTCAGGGAACTCAGCCAGCTGGCGTTCATGATCATGGATTCCGTGAAGTCGTTGGTGTGGGCGCTCGTCATGTTGGCAATTGTAATATACGTTTTCGCCATCTTCTTCACGCACTACGCTGCGGAGCATGTCAGGCTCCAGGGGACGAGCCACGAGTCCATTCTCATCGATGAGCATTTTGGCAACCTCTGGTTGACAATCTACACCCTGTTCCACTGCATGCTAAATGGCATCAGCTGGTACACTATACCGGTCGCGCTGTACACCATTCCTGGCTGGACGGGCCCTTTTTTGGCTTTCGGTTTCGTGGGATATCTAGCCTTCACGATGCTCACCGTGATGAATATCCAGATGCGCTGCCGCGCGAACCTGATCGGACAACAACGGGAAGCGCCGCTTTAGTCTAGTGGGCGTATTGGGCGAAAAAGAAAAGGAAGGCGAGGGCAACGAGGAGTCGATGACGAGGACGACGTGGCGAACGTGAGGATAGCGAGGAGGAGCATGAGGACAACGAGGAGGAAGAGAAGCACAAGGACCAGGACGAAGAGAACGAGGGCGAGTACGAGGAGGAATGCGGAGGGCGATGATGACGACGACGACGACGACGACGACGACGACGACGACAGAGGACAGTACGAGGCAATTGGAGAAAGACGTTGCTCCTGGCGCCGCGCGGGGTTCTCTTGGGGCCTGTTGGGGGCTTCTTGGGGGCCCCTTGGGTCCTCTTATGGGCTTCTGGGGTCTTCTTGGGCTGTCTGGGCGCGTCGTGGGGTTCTGTGGGAGCTTTCTTAGGCCGTCTCGGCGCTGGGGGCCTCCTGGGGCGCTCCCGGGAGTCTCTTGGGGCCTTCTTGGCCCTTCTTGGGCCGTCTTGGGGTTCGTGTGAGCTGTGTGGGTGGCTCCTAGAGCGCTCTTGGGGGTCTCTTGGGGTCTTCTTGGGGCGCTCTTGGGCGCTCCTGGGGCTCTCCGGGGCGTCTCCAAGAGCGATTCGAACACGACGTCGACGTCTTGGCGTTATCTTGGACTGTCTTGGCGTTATCTTGGACTGTCGTGGGGCTCTGGTGGCCTGATTGGGGCCCGTGGGGAGCATTTTGGGAGCCTCTTGGAGGCTTCTGTGACCCTCTTGGACTGTCCAGGCGTCTCTCGAGGGTCTGTGGGGGCTCTCTTGGGCTGTCTTGGCGTTACCTTGGACCGTCTTGGGGCTCTCTTGGCCAGTCCTGGGGCCTCTTCGCGCGCTCGGGGGGGCCTCTGGGCGCCTCCTGGGGGCCTCTTGGGGGTCTCTTGGGCCGTTTTGGGGGTCCCCTGGGGGGCCTTTTGGGGCTCTGTTGGGCCGTTTTGAGGCCCTCTGGGAGCGACTCCAAGATACTGCTGGTTCGGAGTCCCCTCCGGAGCCGATTTGTGCGAGGATGTCTCGAGCGAAACGGCCATTTTTCCGGAACCTTCCCTGACATGAACGGGACGCGCGTGAAAGGGAAGAGTTACGCAAGAACTTGCAGCATCATCGCGATCAAATGTAGTACAGGCGAGCTCTCCGAACGCTCACAAGGGATACGTATGGACACGCGCCCCCGAACGTTCACAAGCATATTCCTGAGTCTCCTCCCCACTCCTCCGCATGAGGAAGACGACGGCGAAGACGACGGCCGGGGAAGAAGGGAGAGGACGAGGAGGAGGAGGAGGAGGAGGAGGAGAAGGAGGAGGGGAGGAGGAGGAGGAGGAGGGGAGGAGGAGGAGAGGGAGGAGGAGGAGGAGGAGGAGAAGGAGGAGGAGGAGCAGCATCAGCAGCAGCAGAGCAGCAGAAGAAGAGGTGAGGAGGAGGAGGGGGGGAGGACGAGAGAAGAGGAGGAGGAGAGCAGGAGGAGGAGGAACAGGAGGAGGAGGAGGAGGAGGAGGAGCAGAAGAAGAGGTGAGGAGGAGGAGGGGGAGGACGAGGAAGAGGAGGAACAGGAGCAGGAGGAGGAGGAAAAGGAGGAAGAACAGGAGGAGGAGGAGTTGGAGGAGAAAGAGGAGAAAGAGGAAGAGGAGAAGACCGACGAGGAGAAGGACGAGGAGGAGGAAGGAGAAGTAGGAAGAAGGCGAGGAGGAGGAGGAAGATGAGGAACAGGACGAGGAGGAGGAGGAGGAGGAGGAGGAGGAAGAAGAACAGAAGGAGGAGGAGGAGGAGGAGGAGGAGGAGGAGAAGGAGGAAAAGGAGGAGGAGGAGGAGGAGGAAGAGGAAATGTTGGGAGGATGTCTCGTGCGAAACGCTGTTTTTGTTCAACGAACGTGTGTAAAACACATGGGTTTTTAAATATTTTCGCTTCTTGGGCCATCTTGGGAGTCATCCGACATCGCTCCGAACACATGCCTTACAAGAGCTCTGTCGGCATCTCATTGTTTCGAGGATGTCTCGGGCAAAACGCCCATTTTCGAGGATTCGAAAATTTGGCGAGCGATTTCGAGATCCCGATTGTTGGAGGATGTCCCGAGCGAAACGCCCATGTTTAGCAAAAGACGTCTTAAGGTACGACCCCCAACTTCACGATTTTGGGAGGATGTCTCAGGCGAAATGGCAATTCTGGGGAACCTTTCTTGACATGAACGGGAAGCGCATGAAATCGAAGAGCCTGGCAAGAACGTGCACCAACATTGATGTCGCATGTCGCCTAGGCGCTCTTCCCGACCGTCCACAAGGGGTACCAGGTGGAGTTCACTACCCGCGCAAGTTCAGACGTGGCCCTCACCCCGAACGTCCACAAAGGGTACCAGATGGAGTTCACTACCCGCGCAAGTTCAGACGTGCCGCTCACCCACAACGTCCCCAAAGGGACCAGATAGAGTTCACTACCCGCGCAAGTTCAGACGTGGCGCTCACCCCGAACGTCCACAAAATGTACCAGATGGAGTTCACGACCCGCGCGAGTTCAGACGTGCCGCTCACCCCGCACGTCCACCAAAGGCACCAGGTGGAGTTCACTACCCGCGCGAGTTCAGAATTGGCGCTGACACCCACGGCGAGATCATGATCATCATCACCGTCGTCATCATCATCATCATCATCGTCATCATCATCACCAACACCACCATCATCATCATCATCATCATCATCATCATCACCATCATCGTCGTCATCATCATTACCGTCATCAACCTCATCGCTATTATCAGGGAGGGCTGAACTCGCGCGGGGAGTGAACTCCACCTGCTGTGGGCGAGTATATTTTGAGGATGTCTCGAGCGAAACGCTTACTGTTGAACAGAATTAGTGAAAAACCTATGGTTTTTCAATGATTTTGCCTTCGGGGCCATCTTGGAGGTCCTCCAAGAGCATCCCCCAAAGATGCCGTACAACAGCTACTTCGGCATTTCATTGTTTGGAGGATGTCTCAAGCGAAATCGACATTTTCGAACATTCGAAGGTTTCACCAACGATTTCAACATCTTAATTTTCTGAGGATGTCTCAGGCGAAACGCTCATTTTTGGCATAAGAGGTCTGAAACAGCTTTTTCGACATCCCACTTTTTCGAGGATGTCTCAGGCGAGAGCTCCATTTTCGAAGATCCGACGATTTCGCGACCGATTTCAATATTGTTTCAGGCGAAATCGTTCTTTTTAACATAAAACGTCTTAAACGATAGCCTCCAACATCTCCATTTTGTGAGGATGTCTCAGGCGAAATGGCCATTCTGGGATTGAACAAGCACTTAGTTTTCAATGAATTTGCCTTTTGGGCAATCCTGGAGATCCTTCGAGAGCGTCCCTTAAAGATGTCGTACAACATCTACTTCAACCTCTCATTTTTGGGAGGATGTCTCAGGCGAAATCGACATTTTCGAAATTCCGAAGGTTTCGCCAGCGATTTCAATATCTAATTTTTTCTGAGGATGTCTCAGGCGAAAGGCTCATTTGTCAAACAAGAGGTCTTAAAGCAGCTTTTTCAACATCCTATTGTTTCGAGGATGTCTCAGGCGAGAGCCCCATTTTTGCAGATCAGAAGATTCCGCGACCGACTTCAGTATCCCCATTTTGTGAGGACCTCTCAGGTGAAATTGTCATTTTTTATATAAAAAGCCTTAAACGATAGCCTCCACCATCTCCATTTTGTGAGGATGTCTCAGGCGGAATGGCCATTCTGGGGAATCCGCCTGGGGCTGACGGAGGAGCAACCCCGAGTCTTTCCCCCCTCTGCACTCCCCCCAGTTGATAAATATTTCCCTCCGGGTCTCCACCAACGTCCACCGCGCGACTCTTCGAGTCTAAGCGCGCTTCCCGTCATCCGCCTGGGGCTGACGGAGGAGCAACCCCGAGCCCTTCCCCCCTCTGCGCTCCCCCCAGTTGATGAATAGTTCCCTCCGGTTCTGCACCAACGTCCATCGCGCGACTCTTCGAGTCTAAGCGCGCTTCCCGTCATCCGCCAGCGAAGGTGCCCCATGGGATCCGTAGCCCTTAGTTAGAAAAGATGAAGCCCCAGAACCAACGGTGCACGCCAGAGGCGCTTCCCGTCATCCGACAACGAGCCTGGGCGAGCGCCTGGTGAAGAGGGTGGAGCCAGAGGGAGGCGGGGGGCAGTCCAGGGTGAGTAGGTCGGAATGTGCTAACCGAACTGTTGAGCCACCTTCTGTTTGGAAGGCAGAAAACATATTAGCCGTAAGCGCGCGTTGGGGCCAAAGAAGACAGACACATGAAACATGCAAGTGACCGACACGCAACGACCGAACTTAAATTTTTCCCAGCAAAGTGTCAGCCTCGGGCTACCCAATTCTTCATGTGAGCATTCTGACGGCGAGCTGTGCCCTCGGACTCAGTATTCTTCAAAAGGGAATGGAAGATATGCTCACCGATGCAACGCCCATCCCAAGGGTAAGGCGACCACTTGCATTGCAGGCGCAATAAATTCTCAAGTGTGAGATTATCCCTTAAGTGACATGATATGTCATTTCAATTTTTCCCTCTGCGGTGGCGGATCATCACTGGTGTCTTTGTAGACAATGCAGTGGAGACGGCTAGGACACAGCGGGACATATTAGTGCAGAAGGAGATGGAAGTCAAGGAGCATTGGCTCAAGGAGATGCGCAAAGTCTTCCTGGAGATGGATTCCGACTGTTCCGAGTCACTGACCCAGGACGAGGTCGCCGAATTCTGTGCCGACGACCGCGTGCACTATTATCTCACAGCGCTTGGTCTCGACAATAACGACACGCAGAAGTTGTTCGACCTCCTCGACGACAACCAGGATGGGCAGATCGAGTTGGACGAGTTCCTGGCGGGGTGCCTGCGCTTGAAAGGGATGGCCCGCAGCATCGACGTCCTCAGCCTCATCCGGCAGTCCCGCCAGGTGCACAGGCGCCTCGACGAGATCGACAGGGTCTTACGCCTGAGCATGCAGCCGAGCAAACACTTGGCGTCAGTGTTGAGGCCGTCCTCGTCGCAGGAGCCCTTGCCCGACGGGACTTTGCCGGAGACTGCGCCCGGGGGGGGCCAGCGCTCGGTCCCCAAGGCCTCGATGCTGGGGCTGCAGGCCTGGGGCCCTCCCCACACTCTTCCCGCGCCCGACGGCGCCGCGGAGGGGCGGCTGGTGAGCCTGGTGAGCCGGTGAGTCCCGTCCCCCTCGTCCTCGGCCTCGGCCTCGGCCTCGTCGTCGTCGTCGTCGTCGTCGTCGTCGACGTGGTCGGCGAGGGCCCCGCGAGGGCCCCGAGAGGCCCCTTAAGAGACCCCGCGGGCCCGCTTCCAGCCTCGGCGGCAGCGGGCGCCCGAGGGCGTGCGCCTTCTTTGTTTGTTAAGACGGCTCGCTCGTGCGCCGGGAAGTGCTCGAGCGAGGGGGCAGGCAGGGCCCTGCAGGCCTCCTCGGCAGCGGCGAGCGCTCACGGTCGGGCAGTGGCGAGGCGCCCTTGTCTACCCGTGGGCCCACCAAGAAATCTCTACGGAAATTTGTGCTGCGGTCCGAAGAGAAGCGTCTGAGACATTTCTGGCTGAGGCCGTCTTGTTCAATCACATCTCCGAATGGTATGAATAATATCGTTAGCGACGCGTCATGGCACAATCGCGTTGGTTTTCGAACTTCTCTCGCTCTAGGAGAATTCCGTGGTAGACCTGAAACGAGACCGGGGCGGTCGGCCCCTGCTCACCACAATTGGCACAAGGGCTTT